TGTTTAGACATGCGTTCACGTTATGTTGATACATATATGTATATAATATAAAATGGTGCACGTAATGCCGAGTCACCTAGACTGGTGACCACATTGCAACATGGTCGATAGGATCCGATCTGTACTAAGAAGGACCTGACATACATGACATTGATCAATACCCAGTGACCAATCAAATGTTGATTTGTATATGATATTTATATTGAAAAAAACACAATGTCATTTACCGTAAAGAATAGAAGTTAATACTATACGTGTGGTATGAGCTACTTTTATCCACATAAGTAGTATAGAACGATGGTCAGAAATAGAATATATTTCAGTAGGAGATCTAGAAGGAACACAACAGGAACAGAAATTAATTAATATGAAAATACACAAACAGTGAATTCAGAGACAATGGACTGAGATTTGCAAAAGGAACAGTCAAGTTTGAGACAATGGATTGATAATTTGCAAATTAACTATTTTACTGTATGGTTCTCGATTTCAATGAGATATTCTATAATTTCATGTTCATATACATACAGTTCTCCTCATTTGTGTTCTTGTTCAGAACATACGTATCACTGATGTATTACGAAGAAATTCAATTGTCGTTTCATTTATTCATAAATATTGAAAATATTATTGGATTGATGATTAAATATGTAATCAACAGATAGATAGATATATGTTGAACTTACATTCAACTATGTATATACACTTGTATACATACTACTAACATTATCATTAAACCATATGTTGTTACTAAAGAAAAATTCACAAACACCTAATCTAGCACGTTTATTCATGCTTTCATTTAGGTTTAAGAAATGAAAGAAAGAAAGAAAGAAAGAAAAAAGAGAGAAGAAAATAAAACACACGGCGAACAAAGGAAGAGCATAAGAAGAGAGAAAGAGAAAAGGCCAGAAATGAATAGAAAACGGAAATGGCAAAAATGAAAGAAAAAAAATAAAGGAATTATGAATGTGTTTATTTACACAAGATCATATTTGTTTACACAACCAGTGTTTCTATTCTATATGCTTTCAGGTTTCTTAAAGTTAAAAAAAACATAGTAACCCAAACCTATATATATATATATATATATACAGCTGAATATTTATGTATCAGTGTGTGTGTGTGTGTATGTGTTTATATGTTAGGAGTCTTTAGATTATTTTATGAATTCTTCACCTACATAAAGTGAATTCCGTATTATCAGTTATTGGGAATATCGTAGTCAAATGAATAAATTTGTTTTATCTAATATATATAATAAAATTACTATAATATCCACAAATACCCTTTCTGATCTTAATGAACAGATGATCATTAGTGACTGGTTTCAAGAGATATTTCCTGGAGTTCTAGTGAGAAGCGTTGATCAGTGGAGTTCAATTGGATCTGTTGTGAGATATTAACTCACTGGAGACAATGATGGATGTGCCGTTCGATTTCGTGGATTATTTGAGGTTAGACATTAATACCATTGGATGCCGGCTAAGTGGTCTAGTGGTTAAGCACACACGCGTGAGACTGATAAGACCTGGATTCAAATCTCGCGAGGTGTGATCATGGATGCACATTGTTGAGGAGTTCCACAATGGGAGGAAACGGCCATCTAGTACTCCCAGGTTTTCCGCAGTGATCTAGCTTCAATTGACTTATGATTTCAAGTAATAAAATGATCTAAGATAATTTATTACTTATACATAGTCTGAGTAAATACAAAACAATTTCAGTAGTATAGTTTTTTTTAATATTATTTTGTTCTTCTATGTGAACAACAATTCATCACATCATGATTATCTATTTCAATGGAGATAGATAAAAGTAATGGATTGACAGTTGATTATGCATAGTGATTACTGTGTTTTAAGAATATGTAAAAAACAAAAACAAATAAACAAACAAGCATCATTCTGTGTAGAATTACACTTTTAGTCACTTTTGTACAATTTACTTTCATTTTAACACATATAATAAACACATTACTGAGGAGCTGAAAATCATCACGAATTCTAGAATCCCATTAAAAGATGTAGAAGAAGGCGAAAGAACACATTAGGTCGGGAAATAGAAGGAGATATGAAAAAGATGAATAACAACTGGAAGGAGCTGGAAAGGATTGCCCAGGACAGGGTTGGATGGAGAATGCTGGTGGACGGCCTATGTTCCTTCACGAGGAGTAACAGGCGTAAGTAAGTAAGTAAGTAAGTAAGTAAGTAAGTAAGTAAGTAAGTAAGTAAGTAAGTAAGTAAGTAAGTGAGTGAGTAAGTAAGTAAGTAAGTAAGTAAGTAAGTAAGTAAGTAATTAAAAGATGTTGAAACATAGATTAATAATAATAACATTAACAAAATAACAGTCTTAATTCAATTTGAAATGGCTTTGGTTATTCAATTGTTGATATATTTGACAGAAATTTGATCAGTTTTGATTGACGACTGGTTATTATGTCTGGAAAGATTCGACATAATCATTATGATACAAGCAGATCCAGAATCGACGAAATTGAATCTCATACCCGTTGCACAATTCAATTCAACTAAGTGAATAAACTGATGCGGTTTGAAGCAAACGGTAATCGGATTGAGTCATGGGATGGAGATCAGAATTCGAATGAAGTTACATCTGGCTGACGAATCGTAAATGAGACGAAAAGCGTGTTTCGAGATCCTATGCTACCCACATTCCATCTATTCTGTTATCGTAGTTATGCTCATTACCACAAATTCTATTAAACAAAATAATTATTAGCCAAAATTTTGAAATATTTCAACATGCTTAATGCGTCCTCAAATAGTAAGAAACTCAGAATTCAATAGCAGAGCTCAGAGAAACGGACTTATCACAGCTAATCAGATTTCAATTTATGTTTGTTAAAATTAATAATATATAGTAAGTCAGAGCCATTTTCATAGAGAAGTCCAACACGTTGATTTTGTGAACAGAACAGTAAGGATAATATTTGAGTGAACTGACTCCATCTAATGCATTCCACAACTTTTTCCAGCTAATTTTCAGCCAAATTTTACATCGTCTGTGTAAGACGTGAAAACATACAACGGAAATGTTAAAAGAGATCGGTTCAATGGTAGTTTGTAAGTTAACTCATTAGCTGTTGTGTGATCACAATGTTGCATACTACTTTTGAAAGTTTTTAGTAGGTAGAGAGATTGGTCAAAAATTGTGAATGTACATCAACGTACTAAATGATTTACTTCATAAGCCTATCAATTTGATGAAGGTTGCTCTCGTTAGTACAACTGTATAAACTGTAGTCTGAACAACTCCTAATGTCCAATGAGGTGTTAATCAGGACTAGTATGGACGGATGAATGTTTCACTTGAAAACTGACCAAATAATCAATGGATAACTTTTCTACCAAAACTGATTAGTAATATTCTTAACTTGTATAATGAACAGTTCACCCACATGTGGATTAGTTTCCATCTTGAAAGTTGAAGTACGACGATAAAATGGATTATACAGTTTCTTTCAACTTCATCACAAACGAGCGCTTTATGAGAATATTTTACAGCAGGTGTTTATTCACCGATATATTTCATTTCGCAACATTCCCTTGAGAAAAGAAATAATTTGTTGCCTCTAGAAAACAAGTAAGTGTGTATATGTTTATGTGTGCGTGTGTCTGTGAAAGAGAGATGCAAGAATCACAATCACTCAACTTGGTATACTCGAAAAAACGCATATAGACTTCATAGGATGCTGTAGAGATTATGCTTTTGCTTGTTTCGTTAGAATGAAAAGTTGAGTTCAGTGTACACATGGTTAATCCAAAATTAATCAGATTATAATACTCAAGATAAACTGGTGATTGTTAATAATCACTCGTATCCGAGCTCTCGTATTTAATTTCAGGCATAAAGTGAGACCAATGCGACTCAGTGTAAATATCATTCACATGAATTGAACTTGAATTCAGAAGTTAATTGTGGAATAGTTGATGACGAAAGTGTGAAAAAATCACAAATGATGACATCTCTTCTACATAGACCTCATGTCATGCACATTATGTTATGGACATTGTATTAAAGCGTTTGAAGACACAGTTGAATTAATTGTTGAGAAGATACGGAATGTGTGTTTTACTGTAGATTGATGCATCATGATGATTATTTTCTCGAAAGCACTACCATTCTGCTTCCTTGGTCTGCATGCTGCTAAAATTAGCGTGGATCGCAGTTAGTTAGCTGACGATTTCTCGCTTTCTAATCAATACTGTATGATCGAATTCAGAAAGAATTTAGCCCATTACAAATGAAAGTATTGACATTTATATTCCATAGTAAGTTATCTTAACACTTTTCGTTTCACACCACATGTCTCTTACACACTAATCCGAATTCCTACTTTAAACATTGTTAACGTTGATCGGATGAACCATTCAGTATACAGTGAACCTATATATATTCGATAATTTTGATGTTTGATTAAAATTCTTTGAAAATGCTTGGACCAGATTGCCAGGCGAGATGTTGGAACTACTTCGAGTTCATTCGTTGAGATTTTACAAATATATTTTTCCTTTTTAATGTCTCACATCAAATCAGTGCCCAAACACTGTGAAAATATTTGATCAAATTTAGACGAAAGTTCTTACATAATATGTATAGTTTTTCGTTAATAAAATTGACGACCGGTTTGTTCCGTGATATATTCCATGAACTGTGGAAGTATTTGCAATGGTAATTTAACTCACTGATCACGAATATCATGATTACGGAAACGTGAAATATTATTGAATTAAAATATGAAGACGATTCAATGTTTTCACTAACGAACAATTTAATTCTAGGCTTTCAAGCTGCATAATGCTCTTGTGCATTTAAAATTCATTTATATAATCACACCTGCTGATAGGCAATCCTTATTGTCAATATTGCTTGTCTGTCAAACTGATTATATGAGACTCCGATTTCTTACATGTTGCGCCTTCCAGTTCAATCTCGATTTAAAACCCCACAAGGTTCTACAAAACCTGCTCGTATACGTTCAAGTTCGTCCAGCAGATACTCAGCCACAGTGTTTCATGCTGTTACAGTCTTAGTTTACATCAAGAAAAATGACCATCGGTCCAAAATATACAAACTATCATTATAATTGAATCAAGTAACATATAAGTGAAGCGAATAAGTAATTCAACTGGTAAGTAAAGGCATTAGGTGGAGTCACGTGAAGTTAATACAGGAAATTCGTTATTTTACTGAACATTGACAGACAGGTGGTGTTCTCGTTTTGTTCGATTTTGTGGATGATGTGGAGAAAAAGATACTTGTGATTAAGTTTATTAGAAATAGACACGAATCTCACCATTTCGTGCTATTTCGTGTTGGTAATGCTGCCAAGAAATATCCGTTAATAGTTTCCGAATATGTAGTTATACTCTAAATCTTTAGTTCACCAACACGAATGGAGTAGTAGTTGATCGTTTTATGATGAGACACAATGTAAAAGCAGATATATATCTACACTGAGAAGAGAAGTTTTAATGTCAAGTGTTCATCCATTATGAGGTGACTACTGAATTTCTGATCATCATTCACCCAAATTTTAGATCAACCAAGTTATTGCATTCTAAACGGAAAAATACATAATCCGATAAAACTAGAACAATTTATGTTTGTTAATCTGAATTAATTGTAGTGAAATACGATTAATGAATACGTGCTATCTAGTAAGATATAGTACCATAAACAAAATAGAATTCACTCACTTCATTCTTAATCTTTAAATCTTATCAAATCAAACCCATAATCGTCACGAAACTATCACACGTAAATCTTACAGTTCACCTTAGTCTATTCAAATGAATGATATAAATTGACCCACAAAGGATGATTTCAATACTTGATCAAGAACAATGCCAAATTGTTTAGTGTTGCTCGTTACGGTGATATCTTGCTCCACAGTGTGGTCACTTCAAACGCTGGAAACTACAACCGAGGATCACACAAATTCGAATAGCTCAGCAACACAAACAAGACTTTTGTACAGTCTGGCACCGCCAGTAAAATGCATGAGACTATTTAGCTTCTACAGAAACAAGGATTATTGGATCGATTTATGTGACAGTAATCCATCACTTTCACCATTTCTCAAGAAGTATACAAGAGCAGTTTGTTCACCACGCTCCAATAGATTCGATAACATTAAATACTGGGTTGTATATTCGTAAGTTTCTGCCAATTTCTTCACTAGTCACCTTATGAAATGTGTATATTGCAAGTTTCATGTGAGTCCTCTGTCATACAAATCCACTTGGACAGTATCTAGTCAGTGTCTCATATATGATAACAAGTGTTATCTCATCATTATTTGCAAGATACATTGGACCAAATATTAAAATGAAATGTAATGTTTCGATAATTCTCATCCGACAAATCGACGTTGTCAGTACGTAGAATTACTCCCTACTCATTTCCAAACACTTTGGAATAAGACTGACTAACAATATGAATAGATTGAATTTCAGCATGTACACCATCGTAGTTTGACTGAGTAGTCTGGAGGCTAAGTAATTCTGTGTGTGACGGAATAGGCTAAGTCTCTTCACTGTTTCAAGTGGTTGTTTAACACATATTGTTCGTCCATATTCACGATGAAATTACAAAACCCCATTAACATCTTGTTGCGATGTTGATTCCAGCTGAATATTACAGTATCCAACAACAATGTAAACCGAATCAGTAGTAAACATGATTTGATGAACTTCATTAGGAAAATGTCTCTTCATTGACTTGATTTGCTACATTGAGTCACACAGTCTACTGAGGACATTCTCGAAGGATTGACCAAGTAGTCACTTCACTGCATCAGACGATGTTAATCTTGTTTGTTATCAATTCAATTAACTACTGGAAATTTCACACACGAATAAGGGAGCTGAGTGGAAGTAAAACAGTGGTGTTCCACTCGACAACATGGAATATTATGTGGTGAATGAAATTTCAGTCATTTGATGCACTCGATACATTGTTTCGAGCATTTTCGGTAAACCGGATTGAATAATGTTTGTTAGTGTATTAAACTTGAGGCATTTTCATTCAGCTGTTATGAGCATAGAATAGTATGTGTGAAATGGAAGACACATTTCCGATCGAGTTCATCAATGAGTTCACATAGGAAATTACTGTATGTAAGGATTTCTTTCAGTCTAGTTGTATGGAAAGCTGTGCAAATGTTCACATGTAATAAATTATGTATATCAAAACAGTTTATGTGTTTCTGTAAGACCATTAGATTGAAGGAAGTAGACGAATCGCGGTAGCACATGATATTCCATTTGGTGTTTTTAACTAAGGATAATGTCGAGCTAATCCACTCAATATGGATGAATACCTATCAAGTGTAATCCAATGTAGTTGTTAACATCAACACTGGGAAAATCAAGCACATACAACTGTCATCTTGTATTTGTTCAAGTATTAGGATGGTAAGTTCTGATTGTAAATCGACAACATTATTAATTTGTGTATAAAACAGATAAAAGATTGTAATGTGTGAAGATATGATGATCATTGGTATACTTCATTTCGTTGGAAATTTTATTCAACATGTTTAGTCTGTGCATAATTGAGTTTAGATAAACTAGTGCAGATGTTCAATGTAAGGTAAATAATTTCAAATGGTGTGTTTTCCAAACACTTTTACCAATATCGAAACTTCCATGTTGTCAGTCACATGTGTATTCTGTTACTGTGTACTTGTTTACAGGCAAGCGATGTTTCGTGGTCGATATATACTAGTTCAACCAGATACATGTGTTACAGTCATTCGTCGAGGTGGACTACGATCAGTTGGATCCATAATGAAGTGTTTAACATGGCCTGGAAACAGTGTTCATTCACCTTGTAATATACAACGAGAGTCAACGAGGATGTCTGATGAAAGTGGGGAAAATATTGTTGATGCACTGGATCAGCAGTGGAATTCTGGAGACGAAACACCCAATGAATTTGACCCAGGTTCACCAGAGAAAGACAGTGGAAATGTCAATATTATTACTAAGTGAAACCATTACTTGACACTTGTATTGCTATCATGCAATCACTAATGAACAATTACATTTTAATTAACAATATCAAGACTTTTAACAATTGTGTAGAATAACGCATGAGAAGTTGACACTGAGAGTGACATGATTTCAATGGTATGATTCCTTTTGTTATTTTAGTAAAGTATTATCTAGTTGAAATGAATTGCACGAAGTGAAGTGTTCTGGATGTGCGTGAACAAAATGCATGACATATTTGATGGATGTCAGAGTATGCGACTGTTCGAGACAGCCCATTATCATTATCAATAATAATAATAATAATAATAATAATAATAATAATAATAATATTACTATCATCGATTAGGGGAAGAATGAGTTATTTAATCAGGGTTATAGAGAGATATCTTATCTGAAGAACTTTCATGTTTGTTTCTGCAATGCAATCACCAAGTAAGCGATATCACTACACAATTGGTACACTAATAAATTCATATTTGGATCTCCAAAACAATACTGTTTAGAGGAGAGTGGTCGTAGTCGAATGAACACTAGGAGGGAAGCAAGCTGAATTGAGAGGATTCTAAGAGATATTCTAAGATATTTCAGGAAACATGTAGACAATAAATAAGTGATCGATAATCAAGTTGTTTCACAAATCCAGTCGATAAGTCATCGAAATCTGAAGTCAGTTAGAATTATTATATTGATGAAGAAGCATGAATCACATCGATACTAATCGACTGAGAGAAACGTCAGTTTTGTTAATGAACCTGAGTTGTTGATGAATGTATTTTTAGTATGATAACAACAGTATACAATCAATGTGCACATCACATCACATTCTTGTACCGATTGAATGATTTGTAGATCAATCATGTTGAATCAAATGAATTTCGCATAATAACAAATGAGTGTTACTCGACACCTCACTAATTCACTTCACATGTGATCCGATCACACAAATTCTCTCAGATCGAATCGGCATACTAACTTCACAACACAGATGAGCATTTTGCATCAGTTCGACCACATTCTTCCTAATTTCAGTTTGTCTAGAGAATCTTCCAATCGTATCTACCATGCTCCAACATGTTCCGTGACAAGAACACAATAATAACACAATGGCACAAACAACACATCCATTAGTCATATCAATACATGTGAACATTTCACTGGTCCTTATCAAGTCTCTCTCCATGTGATTTCCTCTTCACATCACAGGATTGTGTACATGTTCGATTCCACTGAAAACTGACAGTTGGTCACCGTGCATCACGCTCTCATTTCATTTTCATGATAAGATGATTTGACATACACAAATTGAACAAGTGTTAATTATGAAGTTATGATAATATCTCATGCATAGAGAATGTGATGCATGTGATCGGTTGACACATCGTTTCCTACAAACGAAATACTTCTTCACATCTTATGATCGATATGAAAATGGCCTAAGCAATGCAACTACTCGACCTACTGTGTTGTGGCTAATATAAACCAATTTCACTCCCACAAATAATTAGATGAACAATGTTAGTCAATTTGTTCTTCCTCGTCACAGTAATTTCTTATACAACTGTGTATGCAGTTGTGAGCAACCGTACAACAACTGAGTTGAAAAGCAATACCAGTGCATCGAATAAATCATCAAGTCTACTGAATTGGCGAAATACAATCACACGATGTGTTCGATTGTATATGGAACCAAATCAACTTAGTGATTGGTTTGATATATGTGATAGTAATGAGCTACTCCTATATATTCGATTTTTCCACGTAAGGTTTTGTAAATCAGGATGTTTGTCTGGTTTCCTACAATTTGCCGTATAGACATGTTTGCTGAACTAATTCATTTATTTCGATCTATTCTGCGTACCGTATTACAGACTATTGGATTCGAAGAAAAAATTTGGTAATGTGCTTCAACTGCTTAGTTTGTCATGAAATATTTTGTTAAAACTGTAAATTTGTGTTTAGCCATGTATATCAGAGTATACGGCACCACCATAATACTCACATAATTTAGGTTTTCTTACTCCTTTCCGTCCTCCATGTTAGCATCTTTTAAGTAGTGTTTGTAATCAATGAGGAGCCTTGAGGCGGATTGAAGCTATTTTTGCTCCAGATTCTATTGTACTTTATTGAAAAACGGATTTCATCTACAATATAATCAAGTGACTAGTATGAAGTAACTTACTTTTATCACGAGAATACGATTGGTTTATTGAAAACAATTATTATTATAACCAATTGTACCAGTGACTGTTTTACTGTGCTATTGTGTAGCTGTGCTAAAAACATCCATTATACTTACACTTCGATTGTGACCTCGCGCTAATTCGGTTGCCTTCTGTAACCAAGCTTGTATCCTGGCGCGATCTCGGTATCCTTTCGATGCCACGAGATCGCCAGCAAACATATCTCGACTTGGTCCATTAACTGCCTTCTGATATTTGGCTTCCGGGGGATTTTATGGATATGCTGACACGCGTTCCTTGGTAGCGGTGTTCATAGTCAACCGCAACTCGACACCACGCCACAAGTAGCGCATTACTTCTCATTTCTAGTAGCTAGGAAACTCAAAAAATATTTAAAAATTATCCGACTGATTTATGTGGGACATCTTAATCAAGATGTGTTATATGCTACTGATGTCAATGTAACCGAATTCGCGCGAAGTTACAATTGAAGTGTGGGAATAAGAATGGAAGTACAATATAGCTGTTTATTTCGAATCGATGGATATTGATTCACTCTGCTAACTGCTTATATGCTTCTTAGTCTGTTGAAAAAATGAGACATAAGACAGGGAAAACAGGAATTTCAGGACACTTGAATGTTTATTAGTGAATTAGGAAAGGAGTTTTCATGGATAATTCACTTATTACAACCCTTCATTTGATCACATTATCTGATGTCAAATATAGTTATGTCATCACTTTCATACAAGTTGAATAGATTGCATAGGTAGTTTACATGATCAATTGAACTGTTTTCATCTTATACTAAGAAGCATTTACCGGTTAGGTTAAAAGTGAGACTTGTGAACTTTGAATATCCACATGAAAGATTGCTTGTAGCCAAACATTAATTTAGGTAAACGTTTATTGTTTATATTGCACAAAGTTGGCGGATACACTTCGAAGGATTTTGTTCAAGAAAAGAGAAGAAAATGATTAGCTATATGAGTATCATACTAATTGAGTTGTCGATTTTAAATACGTCTTAATTTGAACAATACTCCGTTGTGCTATCACACTATATAATAGGTATATACATTGTCCATTAAACTATGTAATGCAATTATATTCGATAGATGGCCAAACTTTCTCTGTGATTGTTGTTTCAATTATGGATTTCGTGCAACAACTATATCGATGCCTAATTACCACTAACTATTTCGTTATGATACACCCAAATATGCTTGGGCACATGATGATGTGAGTTGTGTGAATATGAAATATTGCACTGTGTATGAGTGATTTTCTGTGGTTGACTCAGTTACATAATACGTTGCATGACGTACTTCTCATGAATGGTGTGTTTTGTTACCGGTAAGCAATATTAGGCAAATTTGATTGTAATGCATGACCGATGCGGATCAAGAAACAACTTTCAAGCCAGGATCCAAATATCCAACTAATAACATCATTCTCCTCTTCACCATTACTAAGTTCAATAAACAAAGCGTGATAGATATGTTGAGAAGCGTTAGGTTGGTGAGATATTGATTCATGTGCCATTGTGGATGCTAAGCTGTTATAAGAGTACTCAATGAATTGCTGGTTGGAGTAATGTTTAACTGTAATGTTCATTAGCGAAATAAACCAATGTGAAGAGATTATTTTGACACATGTGTGAGAGGATTCGTACTCTCAAGAACAAATAATTGAGTACTGATGATGATTAGTTTTCATTCAGCTACCTAGTGGTCAACAAAATAGTATAGACCAAATATTTGGAAGGCATTTTGTAGTACATGTATTGCTGAACAGATCAAACAAAGATCCAAGTCAAAGTGACATGGAGCCTTACGGATAAACTTCTCCATTACATTCAACATAAAATAAATAACGAGAAATCAGTGAAAGTTACACTATCTTGTAGTTTACTGTATTCTACATAATGAGTTACGCATCGATATTTGATGTGTTCTGGTTGACTGGAATGAGCCTAGTGTTGACTTGAGTCACTGAAATTCAATACTTCCATCGTGACATCAACACTACCTTCTTGATCCTGATTGGCTTAGAACTATCACTAAATTTCAACGTATATTCAGAAAGGTGGGAATGAAGAATAGGGACGATCCGATCAGGTTTATATTGCTATTTGATCACTGAAGTTTGTAGTTGAAACAAGCACATTGACTACAGTATTCCACTTTCTGAAAGTTTCCAAAATGTTTTCAGAACCTACATACAAATAGGGAAGTTCGACTGCTTATTTAACAATGTATGTCACGTAATTTAAAGATGAACTTCAGAATGCTTTATTCAGCTGACAACTGTGTGAACATAACACGTCTATTAAATTCAAATTCATTTTACTCATTTGAAACTGGTATTTAGACAGCTGATACTTTAAGTAATGGACTGAGTCATATAACCTGTTGTGACGGTATTTAATGATACAGGCATTGTCACAGCTATTCAGATGTATCTGAAGAGTGTTGAGGTGCTCACAAGTCGTAATAGGGACATTAGACAGAGCACGTTCCAATAAATATGTTTCGAGATTTGTGTTTGAGCACCAAGTGATTGTGTATAATAGCTATTTGGTAGATCCATTGAAAACCTATAAAAATGCATTATTCAAATGAAAACAGCACGTCATTTAAAAGGACAAATCAAATGGTAGGTTATGAAAAATACTTCTGGAGAACAGAATGTTCCCTGGCAACAGAGAATAGGATAAATGCCACGCTATTAGAAAACAATCTGTACTAATCTCTCGGTCAACTCTCTCTTGGAAAATTGGGCAAAGAAATTCAAACGAAGAGATTGTACTTGTAATTATTTATTGTTGACACTGTTCTTCTGTAGATCTACCAAACTTGCTAGGTCCTGCGAAATGAGATCGTCTAAATAAAGATGGATAAAATCGTGCAAAAGTAGATATGAAAATCATAAATTAATCATGATGATAATTAATTCAATTTATTTATAGATCTGAAAGCATCACAGTTTTGTGGAATGTATTTGCTCTAGAACTACACCAGACATTATTTATTCATTCAACGGATGCTGCTTATGTGTAGATCAACTGAACCACAATTTGCCAGTCATCATTTGATCACAGATAAACACATAACTCGTTCTGCTGAAAACCATATGTATTTACATTACCAACGAAGACAGCGAAAGTGTACAAAATTAACTGGTATTCTCACTGATCGTATCTCATTTTATATTCATATTTTCACATTTGATGATCTTTGATAGGAGACAATGGAAGCATCAGATAACTAGGCAAATTACCTACCTATAATCCGAAGATATTCAAAACGAAGCAAACACTCTTTCCATTCGTCATGTAATCGGAATATCTAAAGCAAGTCGACCAACTACATTTCGTGAATCAACTGATAACAATGATTGGAAAGACGAAATGCATCACTACACACACACACACCCACACACCCACACACACACACACACAGACTGGTCTATAATGTTTCATCATCACTGAATGAAATTATTTTCGTGTCTCCAATCAATTAATTCTAATTCCTAATTCTACACAACAAAATGAATGATGATCTTCAATTTTGTTATTTTACGGAAATTCACCAAACAGTATGTTGTCTATATGCCAATACATGATGTACAACATAGAGAACCGGAAATCATCATGGCAGTTGGTTGTGATTGTATCATGAATTACAAACTATAAGCATAACTATTAAATTCCAGTGTTTTCGAATGATGTCTGTGACATAACTTCATGAGAATAGAATTAACGAATAAGTGGAGAAACTTCGTAGATGCCCAATAAACAAGATAAACCTCACAACGGATCATATGAAATTGGACAAACCTACTCATATATTAACCAATATGTTTTTCTGAATGGATTCGTATTTCCAGTTGTACAAATCGATTTTGTCCTCCAAACACATGTTGATGAGAGCAGCTCATTACTATCACATATATCGAACCAATCACCAAGTTGATTTGTTTCCATATACAATCGAACACATTGTGAGATTGTATTTCTCCAATTCAATAGACTTGATGATTTATTCAATGCACTGGTATTGTTATTGAACTCAGTTGTTGTAGGGTTGCTCACAACTGTATACACAGTTTGATAAGAAATTACTGTGACGAGGAACAACAAATTGACTGACATTGTTCGACTAATTAGTTGTGGAAGTGAAATCAGTTTATATTATGCACAACACAGTAGGTCGAGTAGTTGCATTGCTTAGGCCATTTTCATATCGATCATGTGATGTGAAAATATATTTAGTTTGTAGGAAACGATGTGTCAACCGATCACATGCATCACATTCTCTATGCATGAGATATTATCATTACATATTCAGTTAGATTTGATCGCACAATGTTGTGAAGCAATAATATTCAACTCTACACCATCTTGATATTTCAACATTTTAAAGTCAAACGATTGACGCTCGTTTATTTTCTTTATGTCAAATCATCTTATCATGAAAACGAAATGAGAGCGTGATGCACGGTGACCAACTGTCAGTTTTCAGTGGAATCGAACATGTACACAACCCTGTGATGTGAAGAGGAAATCACATGGAGTGAGACTTGATAAGGACCAGTGAAATGTTCACATGTATTGATATGACTAATGGATGTGTTGTTTGTGCCATTGTGTTATTATTGTGTTCTTGTCACGGAACATGTTGGAGCATGGTAGATACGATTGGAAGATTCTCTAGACAAACTGAAATTAGGAAGAATGTGATCGAACTGATGCAAAATGCTCATCTGTGTTGTGAAGTTAGTATGCCGATTCGATCTGAGAGAATTTGTGTGATCGGATCACATGTGAAGTGAATTAGTGAGGTGTCGAGTAACACTCATTTGTTATTATGTGAAATTCATTGGATTAAACGTGTTTGATCTACAAATCATTCAATCGTTACAAGAATGTGATGTGATGTGCACATTGATTGTATACTGTTGTTATCATACTGAAAATGTCACCCAGTATATAATACCGTCCTCATCAACAACTCAGGTTCATTAACAAAACTGACGTTTCTCTCAGTCGATTAGTATCGATGTGATTCATGCTTCTTCATCAATATAATAATTCTAACTGACTTCAGATTTCGATGACTTATCGACTGGATTTGTGAAACAACTTGATTATCGATCACTTATTTATTGTCTACATGTTTCCTGAAATATCTTAGAATATCTCTTAGAATCCTCTCAATTCAGCTTGCTTCCCTCCTAGTGTTCATTCGACTACGACCACTCTCCTCTAAACAGTATTGTTTTGGAGATCCAAATATGAATTTATTAGTGTACCAATTGTGTAGTGATATCGCTTACTTGGTGATTGCATTGCAGAAACAAACATGAAAGTTCTTCAGATAAGATATCTCTCTATAACCCTGATTAAATAACTCATTCTTCCCCTAATCGATGATAGTAATATTATTATTATTATTATTATTATTATTATTATTATTATTATTATTGATAATGATAATGGGCTGTCTCGAACAGTCGCATACTCTGACATCCATCAAATATGTCATGCATTTTGTTCACGCACATCCAGAACACTTCACTTCGTGCAATTCATTTCAACTAGATAATACTTTACTAAAATAACAAAAGGAATCATACCATTGAAATCATGACACTCTCAGTGTCAACTTCTCATGCGTTATTCTACACAATTGTTAAAAGTCTTGATATTGTTAATTAAAATGTAATTGTTGATTAGTGATAGCATGATAGCAATACAAGTGTCAAGTGATGATTTCACTTGGTAATAATATCGACATTTCCACTGTCTTTCTCTGGTGAACCTGGGTCAAATTCATTAGGTGTTTCGTCTCCAGAATTCCACTGCTGATCCAGTGCATCAACAATATTTTCCCCACTTTCATCAGACATCCTCGTTGACTCTCGTTGTATATTACAAGGTGAATGAACACTGTTTCCAGGCCATGTTAAACACTTCATTATGGATCCAACTGATCGTAGTCCACCTCGACGAATGACTGTAACACATGTATCTGGTTGGAATATCATGTGATGCCGGGATTCGTCTACTTCCTTCAATCTTATGGTCTTAGAGAAACACATAAACTGTTTTGATATACATAATTTACTACATGTGAACATTTGCACAGCTTTCCATACAACTAGACTGAAAGAAATCCTTACATACAGTAATTTCCTATGTGAACTCATTGATGAACTCGATCGGAAATGTGTCTTCCATTTCACACATACTATTCTATGCTCATAACAGCTGAATGAAAATGCCTCAAGTTTAATACACTAACAAACATTATTCAATCCGGTTTACCGAAAATGCTCGAAACAATGTATCGAGTGCATCAAATGACTGAAATTTCATTCACCACATAATATTCCATGTTGTCGAGTGGAACACCACTGTTTTACTTCCACTCAGCTCCCTTATTCGTGTGTGAAATTTCCAGTAGTTAATTGAATTGATAACAAACAAGATTAACATCGTCTGATGCAGTGAAGTGACTACTTGGTCAATCCTTCGAGAATGTCCTCAGTAGACTGTGTGACTCAATGTAGCAAATCAAGTCAATGAAGAGACATTTTCCTAATGAAGTTCATCAAATCATGTTTACTACTGATTCGGTTTACATTGTTGTTGGATACTGTAATATTCAGCTGGAATCAACATCGCAACAAGATGTTAATGGGGTTTTGTAATTTCATCGTGAATATGGACGAACAATATGTGTTAAACAACCACTTGAAACAGTGAAGAGACTTAGCCTATTCCGTCACACACAGAATTACTTAGCCTCCAGACTACTCAGTCAAACTACGATGGTGTACATGCTGAAATTCAATCTATTCATATTGTTAGTCAGTCTTATTCCAAAGTGTTTGGAAATGAGTAGGGAGTAATTCTACGTACTGACAACGTCGATTTGTCGGATGAGAATTATCGAAACATTACATTTCATTTTAATATTTGGTCCAATGTATCTTGCAAATAATGATGAGATAACACTTGTTATCATATATGAGACACTGACTAGATACTGTCCAAGTGGATTTGTATGACAGAGGACTCACATGAAACTTGCAATATACACATTTCATAAGGTGACTAGTGAAGAAATTGGCAGAAACTTACGAATATACAACCCAGTATTTAATGTTATCGAATCTAGTGGAGCGTGGTGAACAAACTGCAAATTTGTGTGATCCTCGGTTGTAGTTTCCAGCGTTTGAAGTGACCACACTGTGGAGCAAGATATCATCGTAACGAGCAACACTAAACAATTTGGCATTGTTCTTGATCAAATAGTGAAGTCAACCCATGTGGGTCTGTTTATATCATTCATGTCCAAAGAATAAGGTGAAGTGTAGGATCTACGTGTGATAGTTTCGTGACGATTATGTGTTTCTAAATAAATAATATATTTGTAGTATCTCAATGAGTCGAAATTTAGATTTTTCTGACTTTTCGTGACTTAGTGTAAGTCACTTCTTCAGAGAATAAATAAACTAATTAAAATTAATCCAAGTATAAATAGCACAACGGAACAATGCAAGAATAATATTGGATCAATCAAAAACAGGTCTGAATAAGTTAATGTCATGTCATTCCGGTCAAGATGATTCATAAGAGATCTGTATGTAAATTTGTGCGTGTGAGTATTGTTCGATAAGATTTAAAGAATAAGGTCAAATGCGAGTGCATTGTATTAGTTAATGCTACTATATCTAACTAGATCGCACGTATTCTTTAATTGGATGTCGATAAAATTAATTCACAGTAACATGATATGACCTATATAAAATAGCATATATAATGCAACTACTCGACCTACTGTGTTGTGCATAATATAAACTGATTTCACTTCCACAACTAATTAGTCGAACAATGTCAGTCAATTTGTTGTTCCTCGTCACAGTAATTTCTTATCAAACTGTGTATACAGTTGTGAGCAACCCTACAACAACTGAGTTCAATAACAATACCAGTGCATTGAATAAATCATCAAGTCTATTGAATTGGAGAAATACAATCTCACAATGTGTTCGATTGTATATGGAAACAAATCAACTTGGTGATTGGTTCGATATATGTGATAGTAATGAGCTGCTCTCATCAACATGTGTTTGGAGGACAAAATCGATTTGTACAACTGGAAATACGAATCCATTCAGAAAAACATATTGGTTAATATATGAGTAGGTTTGTCCAATTTCATATGATCCGTTGTGAGGTTTATCTTGTTTATTGGGCATCTACGAAGTTTCTCCACTTATTCGTTAATTCTATTCTCATGAAGTTATGTCAGCGATTTCATTAAAAATCACTAAATTTGATTATTTATGCCAACTGTCATGATGATTTCCGGTTCGCTATGTGGTACATCTTGTATTGGCATATAGACAACATACTGTTTGGTGAATTTCCGTAAAATAACAAAATTGAAGATCATCATTCATTTTGTTGTGTAGAATTAGGAATTAGAATTAATTGATTGGAGACACGAAAATAATTTCATTCAGTGATGATGAAACATTATAGACCAGTCTGTGTGTGTGGGTGTGTGGGTGTGTGTGTGTGTGTGTGTGTAGTGATGCATTTCGTCTTTCCAATCATTGTTATCAGTTGATTCACGAAATGTAGTTGGTCGACTTGCTTTAGATATTCCGATTACATGACGAATGGAAAGAGTGTTTGCTTCGTTTTGAATATCTTCGGATTATAGGTAGGTAATTTGCCTAGTTATCTGATGCTTCCATTGTCTCCTATCAAAGATCATCAAATGTGAAAATATGAATATAAAATGAGATACGATCAGTGAGAATACCAGTTAATTTTGTACACTTTCGCTGTCTTCGTTGGTAATGTAAATACATATGGTTTTCAGCAGAACGAGTTATGTGTTTATCTGTGATCAAATGATGACTGGCAAATTGTGGTTCAGTTGATCTACACATAAGCAGCATCCGTTGAATGAATAAATAATGTCTGGTGTAGTTCTAGAGCAAATACATTCCACAAAACTGTGATGCTTTCAGATCTATAAATAAATTGAATTAATTATCATCATGATTAATTTATGATTTTCATATCCACTTTTGCACGATTTTATCCATCTTTATTTAGACGATCTCATTTCACAGGACCTTACATAATACTCGGTGCCAGTAAATGTATTGACGATATAAATCAATATAAAATTTCGGCAACTATGTCAATACTGATCTGTGTAGAGAAACTAACGGCAAAATGGGATGTGGTTGTTTCTTGTCAATATCCAAAACGACCATGGAGGGAGTTTTTCCCAGTAAACTGGCACTCTGATTATAAAGTCATATCTAAATCTGGAACGGAATCAGCTGATGAAGCAGATGCTTCCTCACTGGAAGAAATAGCAAGTTTGGTAGATCTTCAGAAGAACAGTGTCAACAATAAATAATTACAAGTACAATCTCTTCGTTTTAATTTCGTTCGTCAAATATTCAGGTGCATGCTGATATCAGTCTACTATGAGCGAAAGAGAGAGATAGAGCTGAAAATGATGTTTGTAGTTGTTTTGAATCAATGGACGTAAATAGTTTGATCTGAATCACGATGAATATTGACTGATATTTATGACGGATTACAGTTCAATATCCATTGTTTTGTGTCTTTATACACCACGAGTTATCACGTAATTTATTCGCAAATGAAATTACTACTTATGCAGTCGTGTACTCTACTAATCCAATGACATTCGTTCGGTCTGATCAGCCTAGCGTCCTATTAATCCATCGCTCGTCTAGCCCGTCCCTCTGAGTCTACAATGCCAACTTCAGCTTCCACTATGCGAATTATTTATTTCAGACATACTGGGTTTATATATCATTGAGACAGACCGCAAGCACCATAAGTAGGAAATAACATTTACACACAATAATGCCAGAAAGTGACTATGAACGTGGGAGACCGTAATCAATAGACTGAGTATAACTTATGAACAGAAAATCATGTTTTAATAATAATAATAATCTGTGGATCAAAACGAAGCTTTCAATGAGTGGAATATAGATATACATAATCTAATCGCTGAATAGTTATACCACAGGAGTATATAGATAATATTAGTCTATTATTAGATCTTAGGAGTTAGTGGTAATTTATTCTTCGCTGGGATATAACATATAGTTGGTGGTATATGTTATAGGAAAAAGTGAATGTTGAACACCAAGTTTCAAGAATACGAAAATGATGGTGTTCTAAACAATTTAACCTCCTAGTTCACCGACATTAATTAGGCTGGTAGATGATCATCGAGTTGTGAAAATATAACTTAACAGTCCACGCCGTTCCGATCAGTAAAATTCCAATGCAGTGTTGCTCAATGTTTCAACAGAGATTTACCGAGAGAGTAGTACAGATTGTTTTGTAAGAACGTCTCATTTATCCAATTCTCTGTTGTAAGTGAACATTCTGTTCTCCAGAGGTATTTATCACGACATACTATTTGAAATGTCATTGTAAATAACGTACAGTTATCATATGAATAATGAATTTGTATAGGTACATACTGAATGATTTCCACTCACTTGTCAATGAAAATGACTCTACAAATAATTGATGGTTACTGTGAGAACTCATAGACGTTCAACACATTAACCAAATTTGGTTTTGAGGGAACACATATGCTAGACTGAATTGCAGATTAAAAAGAAATAACTACACTCTTTTATTGATCACGTATTTCACTTATCTTACCATACTACTTGGTATTGTACAGTAGATTAAATGATTATCAATCAATTTGAAGCCTTCCTCTCTGATTTCTTTGTTGAAATGAACTGCTCATCTTAAATATTGTGGATTTTTCTGAAGTTTCGAACCGCTCTATTGTTTGCAGTTGTATCGCCTAACTCACTTGATTGTTTACTCCCTTTCAAGTATCTTACTACTCTGTAGAAATTTACTGTAAACAGCTGGTTTATTTCAAATCGACGGATACTGATTCACTCTGCTAACTGCTTATATGCCTCTTAATCTGTTGAAAAAATGAGACATAAGACAGGGAAAACAGGAATTTCAGGACACTTGAATGTTTATTAGTGAATTAGGAAAGGAGTTTTCATGGATAATTCACTTATTACAACCCTTCATTTGATCACATTATCTGATGTCAAATATAGTTATGTCATCATTTTTATCTTATTCTTAACTTGACTCGTATACAAGTTGAATAGATTGCATAGGTAGTTTACATGATCAATTGAACTGTTTTCATCTTATACTAAGAAGCATTTACCGGTTAGGTTAAAAGTGAGACTTGTGAACTTTGAATATCCACATGAAAGATTGCTTGTAGCCAAACATTAATTTAGGTAAACGTTTATTGTTTATATTGCACAAAGTTGGCGGATACACTTCGAAGGATTTTGTTCAAGAAAAGAGAAGAAAATGATTAGCTATATGAGTATCATACTAATTGAGTTGTCGATTTTAAATACGTCTTAATTTGAACAATACTCCGTTGTGCTATCACACTATATAATGGGTATATACATTGTCCATTAAACTATGTAATGCAATTATATTCGATAGAGTAAATTTCTAGTACCGACATAAAGTAGATATTGTCAGATTTTGTATATACTTTCCTTATAATTCACTGACTGACTCAATGAATGACTAGCTGACTGATCGTGGATAAACAACCATTGTAAGCCGGCAAATATTGCATTGCTGTTTTTCTTTGTGAAGTTTATATAGGACAATCTGCAATGAACTCGCATAACGTTTAGGGTTATTCTATGAAGTGCACAGAACGTCAAAGCGTGATAGATTTGTTGAGAAGCGTTAGATTAGTGAGATATTGATTCATGTGCCATTGTGGATGCTAAGCTGTTATAAGAGTACTCAATGAATTGCTGGTTGGAGTAATGTTTAACTGTAATGTTCATTAGCGAAATAAACCAATGTGAAGAGATTATTTTGACACATGTGTGAGAGGATTCGTACTCTCAAGAACAAATAATTGAGTACTGATGATGATTAGTTTTCATTCAGCTACCTAGTGGTCAACAAAATAGTATAGACCAAATATTTGGAAGGCATTTTGTAGTACATGTATTGCTGAACAGATCAAACAAAGATCCAAGTCAAAGTGACATGGAGCCTTACGGATAAACTTCTCCATTACATTCAACATAAAATAAATAACGAGAAATCAGTGAAAGTTACACTAT